ATTGCTTGAGGTCTTTGCAGAGGGCTTGACATCTTGTGCAGGAGGATTGGATTCTGGCTGCAGGGCAGCTCTGATGATCACAATGTCTCTCAATTTTCTGTGGGAAAACAAGCATACCCTCAGCCCCAATGTAAAAGTGATGTTGAACCATTCCAAACACCTATTTGGATACCATGCCAAGCAGGATTCAGAAAAGTTAAAACATATGTAGCAAGGTTTTGACCCTGGGTTCCCCCTTGCTTTTGCTTAGCTAGTTGATGTTTTAGTTTAGGACTAGTGTGTTTGATTATTGTCTGACCTTGGGGATTACAGGAGATCCCCATAACATGTTTTATATTCCAGGTATCAAGAAAATTCTGAAAACATGCAGGACCAATATCAGGTTTTGTTCTTTGCGACATTCCTAAATTAGCAAAGACTGATACACAATGTTGTGTGACATGTTGACTTTGTCTGCCCGAATGACAGGTAGCATGGATCATACGTGAAAAGGTATCTATAGAGGCATGAATATATTTAAGTTTGTTAAAAGAGGATATATGGGTAATATTCACTTGCCATGACTGGTTAGTTCTAAGACATCTGGGATTGTAACTGCTGGGGAATAGGTCTAGGAATAAGCTCATAGGAAGGACATGACATCACAATTTGTCTAGCTTGTGTTCTGACAATGTTAAATTCCTTTGGCACAGATTTAGAATTTAGATGAGAAGGTTTAGGAGATTGTCTAGCTTTATAAAAAATGAAAACCAGATTTACAAGAGCACCTATATTGTAACTACCTGATGACAGCAGACCTGGGAGATTAGAATGGGATCTACTATGATCAATAAAGAATGGAGCAGTTCTACTTAATATAGCTCCTGGCAGTTTTAAAAATAGTTGTCATAAAGTAGGCTTGAGATGGTACTATTGCAGTTATTCTCCTACCAATGTTGATAAAACCCTTAACTTTTCCTGTGGAGAAGACCAATGGCCTTCATTATAAATCCAATTTTATATCTATTTCATCTGACTAAAGGTGCAATTGTAAGAGCACAGCCTGCAAGTTTTTACCCAAACCTTGCTTTCTTGATATCCCATCTTAGCCATCATCCTGCTAGCTGGGGGGACACACCTCTGAGGGGCAGAAGTAAGAGAGTGCCCCATTCTTTCATGAGGTCTGTGCCCCATAGATTGACAGGAAGAGGTGCAATAAATAGTGTCACAACGCCTGTCTGTCCATCGTGGCTGACATAAGGGAGTGGCAGAGCACTCTGTGAAACACTGAGGGGAGCCTATCAAAGCAGTGGAGGTGGGTTGAGTCAGCCAAGAAGATGGCCATGACTGACTACTTACCACAGTGACATCAACTCCTGGATCTATCAGTCCAGTAAAAGATTTCCTATTTAACTGAATGGCACAAGTAGGTCTATGAACTGTAGTACCCTGGGAAAAATAAAGTTCCTTGCGTAAGGGCTTGTTTCTACCAGGTTCATGTGCGGGCAAAGGGCAGGAGTGGAAATTTCAGTGGGAATTAAATTTGGCTTTTCTCTCTCCATAAATCAATGAGAGAAGTTGCTGGTAAACCTAATTCTGCACTTTGATTGGTCTGCCGGACCTGGGAACAAGGTAAGCAAGATTTTGCTGTGCGCCCATCCCAGCAGAGGGACTGTTGTTTGTCTGGTTTGGACTGGGTATAACTGGCTTACTTAGGTTCGAATCACTGGAGTACTGACTGACCCATCTTTTATTATTGTTATTGGAGCCGTGGTTTGAGCACACGATTTGTTTATCTGCAAGAGTGTGTGCCATTTAATGAAATTTACATTTATAATACTTTTTCCAATGTAAGCATTTCATGCATTGTGGACACAGCTTAGGCAGTAGTAAATCAGCTGAGGGGGTTCATGCCTTTATAGGCTTTGGGCAGTGCCGGTGAGTGTGTCCTTGCTTGCCACAATTAAAACATTTAATTGCATCAAACTTTATCAGCAAGGTGTTGGGACATAGCCTGTACCATGAGCTCAGAAGCAGGAGTGGTAGGTCCAATATTTTGGCAGGTCTGAATGCGAATAGGTAGTCTTTTGTATGAAGTATTGAGGCTAAGCTTCTTTTACATTTATCATTGGCATTCTCATATGCTAATTGAGAAATGAGCATTCTAGCTGCACTGTTGAGAGAAATCTGCATATTTATGGCCTCTTGCAACCGTGCTACAAGCTGGGTGTAAGTTTCTGTAGGACTCTGAAGTATCTGAGTAAAGTATTTATTAGGTGTACCTTCCTCTGGGACAGAAATCCAGGCAAGGCGTAGAAGCTCTTCACACTGCATAAAAAGAAGAGGTAGGGCCCAAGCTTGAATGTTTAAGTCAGCGTGTCGGCCCACACTGGATAACGTTTTATGCGTAACAGCTTTAAGATTGTCATTCTGGCTGTCTTGATTACTCTGTGTCTGTTCTGATATGAGTATCTGTACTTGTGATTCAAAACGTAGGAATTGTGTGGGGGACAGACACATGTGAGTGAGACGGGTCACATTTCACTGAAAACCTTGAATTATGTTATCCAAACAACCAAGAGTTTAAGGAGCTTGGGCTCCACTGTCTAGTACCATCTGCCTCAGGTCTTTCAAGAGCAAAATTTAAAGGCTGTGTGTGGACTGCACTTATGAGTAGGGTGTTCAGGGTCTGTCTCTTTAGTGACAGCAAAGCAGATAAGCTGTGCATATTTCCTATCAGTGTATTTTGGCCTTTTTGTGGGCAGGGAACGGAGGGAGTTGTTACTGAGCTGACTCTGTGGTTTGGGGGAGGAAGGGACTGTAGGAAGCACAGCATCATAGGTGTCATCTTCTGAACTGGGTTTGGAGAAGAAAGCCGAGTGAATAAATTGGAAAAGTTTCACATTTCTTTCCAAATATCTTGCAAAAGTGAATTCATTTGGTAACCTGCACTTTTTAAACAAGCTTCCTTTTTCTCCAGCGGCCCATTCAGAGGAATATTACCATGGTGGTCTGATTCTTTTATTAGGGTTACTCAGTGTCCTTTTCTCTTTCAACTACCTTATTTGTAGGCAATTTGTCAGCACAGTTGGAGTTATTTTCAGTAGTAACATGGTGCTGGTCTGCTTTTTTTACTAAGTTCTATTGCAAGGAGGAGAGGCCCCTTTCACCAGGTCATTTGTGGCTACAGTTTGTGGGTGGATTTTTTTTATTTTGGGTTTTAGATACACAAAAGCTCTCACCTGTTTTATCCCACTCTGAGATCCAGTGTACTGGCTTTGGGAAAAGAAGTATAGAATGTAGCTATCTGATGGAGTAATCTAACAACTTGCTTAGATGGCTCATTAATGTCTGGGTCAGTTAACAGTTTCATAATCAATAGACTAAATTCTTTCTCTTCTGCAGATAAGGAATGGGATTGCCCCATTGTTGCTCTTGAGGAACAGACTCCTATTTGCTACTTGCGTCTGAGCACTGTAATTAGTAAAATGCTCTGCTTACCTCTAAATTTGTCACGCCAGGTCCAGTGGATTGCCAGCACCTGATTGTGGATAGTGGTCGTTGTGCCGAGAAGGTCGTGCGTTCCTGCATGTTGAGCACCAAATATAGAGTCCTTCCCAGTCCTCATCACAGCCCAGGAAGTCATACTTGTAATCTCGTGAAAAGTTATTGGAATTCTAGTGAGTTAATTCCAGTCTACCACTTCCAGTGCAACCCATGGCGAGAATAAAGCCACTAAGGCATATTTGTAGTTATGGGGAGCCAAGGGATCCTAAGTCCAGCCATGACAATGGCCATCTGGAACAAAGGCCTCTACCCAAGGCTGAACCCAGGCCTTATTCATTCATGAAGAAAAGAGTGGCTTGAGGATGAGTGACTGTGAGAATCGTGGGAACTAGGTGAGTGCCGTGAGCTGGGCTAGGTAGGAGGCCTGAAATCACCTCTGCCATGTACAGAGAGAAGGATCTGCAGAAAGAGTCATCTGCCTAACACAACTGAGGTAGTATCTAATGTTTTGGGGTCAGTGTTTCAGCTCTGGTGTGTAATTTTTCATGCCCTGGGAAGTCATAGCTTCTTATCTTGAGGCTCCATCTCAGCCAACAGGGTGGAGCATGACTCTGCAACCCGCCTTTTTGCTGGGGCTCACACATGTTTTATTTGAGAGCTATGGGGGCCAACGAAACACTGCACTGTTGTCTTAGCTTCAAAGACTACATACACATCAGCACCTCAGCTGGACCAATTTGCATTGCTTAAAGCCAGTTGAAAGGATAAGGAAAAGTCCTAGCCAATTCTGTACATATCAATGCATGGAAATAGGGTTAGGGGTAACTAAAATGGAGATAATTGCTCCTCCTTCAGGGAAAGTCACCCAGGTGGTCTTCCACATCCCTGACCTCCATATCCTTAAAAGTCCACAAGGAAAATGCTCATAGCTTATATTCTAACAGCTGTGTGCTATCTATTGCCACGTAGCAAATTACTCTCAAGTTTAGCAGGAACGGTGAGGAATCTGAGTGACTTAGGTGAAAGGATCTGCCTCAGGGTCCCATGCCAAGTTGTGGTCAAGCTGTTGGCCACAATCTATCACCTCTGAGCACTTGACTGGACCTAGAGGGGTCATGTCTCAGCTTGTCATGCATTTGTGGGCAGGAGGTGAGGGCTCTGAAGCTCCCTCTGAAGCTCGCCTTGCAGAAGGGAGTCCTAGATGGACCCTGTGTGCCTCTTGCCACCTAGCCCTGGAGGTGGCATGAGACCACCTCTTCCATTCTGTGTTGTTCATGGTGACGTGCTCTGGTGCAGACAGCCATGCAGGGAGCACTGGCGGGTATCCATGTGCTCCTCCCTGGGCTTCAACTATTCAGAGCTAGAGAGAGACACGTGCACTTCATTAAGTGCAGAAAAATCTAAACATTTTAAAGAAAACTTTCCATTCTTTTGTTTTGGAGAGAGAGAAGATCACATTCAAATTTTTCAAAACCAAATTACTTTTTTCCAGGTGATATATAGTTCCATATGGTTCCCAGTTCCACAAATGTCAACTCAATCACCTCTGTGAATTCTCACCTACACAAGGACATTTCCTGAACTCTAGAGTAAGGGGAAGATGTGAAACACACAAAGCTCCATGGCTGCTGGCAAAGTTTAATTTTTCAGGGAGAGGGAGATCGTGTTAGGAGCACAGGAGGAGGTCATCAAAGCAACCTGCTCCAAGCAAATCAAGAACAGCCAACTGTATCCCGAATGCAGGAGCTTTTGTGTCCTGATAGCAGCACAGGATATCTGAGCGGACTCCCTATGGTGGAATCCTAAATGAAGGTTGAGCATCACTTTCCATTAAATGTGGGGAGGAGGACCTAGGACAAGGGAGAGACACATAAGTTGGCTTTATGCGCAAGTAATGTTGCTGGTGAGTTACTAGGCTTGATTTGAATTCTTTCACTTAAAATTCTGATCCTATAGTTTCTTTTTCTTCATAGTGGGTGGGAATCCTTTATCCGTCTTTCAGACATTTGTATCATAGAACATTTCTACTTTTTAAGAAACTGCTCCTTTGGAGATGAAAGGAGTATCTTACTAGTCAACATATCCGGTGGGTTGTAGCAAGCAGGTGAAAGCGCAGAAAGTTCTAGACATGGGGAAAAGGGTCATCATGCAGACAGGAAAGTAACCAAAAGCAAACAGAGAAAAATAGATCAGTGTCTGCGTCTCAGCCCATTTTAAAAGAGGTGCAATCTTCCCAGCTCTGGGGACAGGCTGTGAGGCCAGTTGAGCAAGTCCTGCCCCCAGAGGAAGGCAGGGCAGAGCCCCGGTGGGGGTGAGGCCCGAGGGAGGCCGTGAGATTGGCCATGTGATGTGAAAGTCTGTATTTAGATGCACCGTATTTTGGGGATATTTGATGTAAACAGATTTCTCATGCTGACTTGGGAGGAGGCTGAGTTCTGAGCTGAGACCGAGCAGAACAGAGATGGGACTTCAGGACACGGAAACTACAGACACAAACAACCATGTGAAAAGGAGCCCAGGAGTCAGCTGGCATTATGAAAGGGTCTGGGCTGTCTTAATTGTGGTACTTCTAGTGAGTGGAACTAGTGTTCCAAGGCAAGAGGAAGACTATCTAACTTTGTGGATTTGTCAATTTAGTGAAATTTAAAAAACTTTTATTGACATGAAAAAACTGTATAATATGATATTTCAACAAACGTTCAGTGTGTGTGGATCAAGACAATTAACATTTTAGACCTGAATGTAAGTCATTTTGGTTTGGGTACAGAGCTAAGACATCTTCTCCATTTAGACTTGCACGTGGGCACACACACACACACACACACACACACACACACACACACACACACACCCCTCACTATCTCAGACACTTTGTTTTTCTTCCATGGGCACCAAGCTGTTGTTCTCATCCCAGTGATCAAGCTGGGACACTTTTGAGTGTCCTTTGTGTCTGCGGGTGGTGGGCTGTCACAGGTGTTCTCGCACCTTCTGTTGTCTGGGGTCTCCTTCCTCAGGAGTGCTCCCTGTGAGTGCTGCATCCTGGTGGTGGAGGGGCCCCAGGACAAGTCACACTGCGGCACACTGCCGTGTATCCTGCAGGTGGGCACCTCATCTGAGGACTCTGAAGGCCAGCCACACTAGGCGAGGCCCTTGCAGATAGAACACTCACACAGAAGAGGGGTCCTGGAACTGCCCATGGCTACATGGGCCTCTGGATCTTTGATCAAGTGTAGCCTGTTTATTGCTAACTGTTATGGTTTGTGTCTGGATGTCCCCCCAAAGCCTCATGTAGTCATGGGGCAGGCTTCTAGAGTTTATGATTGAGTCATGGTCCAATGCTAGCATTATAGGTGTGAGTGTTACATCTGCCCTGAGGTGGGCAGCATACAGGGTAAGGAAAGGGAAAGAAGCTTGCTCTTCCCACTGCTCCTCCCTTTTGCTCTTGTTGCTTTGCTGCCTGCCACTGCCAGGAACAGTTGCCCTGTGCCATGTGCCACTCTGCCTTGGAGCCAACCAAATATGGACTGAAAACTCCACAACCTGTGAGCTCAATAAACCTTTCCTTCCTTAATTCTGGATGTCAGGTATTTGTCTCAGCAACGAGAGAAAAGTAACTGAGATGCTAACCCTGCAGGACTGTGATGGACACTGGCCCTGGGCTTTAACAAGTACTGATATGGGTATTAAAACTACTGTGATTCAATTTGATACCATTTCAAGTGCGTCAGTGGGTCAATGCCAATAATGGAGATACATTACATAGCAGAGGTAGCGCAGGTTTCTGAATATTGCTAATGTAATAATCAGACAATGGAAAAAGATATCAAGAGATCTAGAATTAAGGTAGAGCCATAGTTCAACCAAAGCAGAATGATGAAAACATTTCCACTTTTGATAAGGGGTAGAGACTCTCAGTAACCCACTTTAATTTGCAAACTAATTCTGCTCGTTGCCAGCATCTTAGTTACACACCACCTTTCAGATTGATAAAACGCCGCATCCTTTTTCCTTTATTTTCCTAATCTGAAGTTCCTTGAGGTCAGAAGTTGCAGCCTCTCCTGCGTTGTTATGGGTGCCTGATGCAGCGCTGGGGGCGTTGATAAGAACTGTTCAGCATATTGCGTAAGTGTGTTTTCTCCAGTTCACAGTGGACGATGAATGAAAGAGGACTGCGTGTAAGCTCAAGCTTCTGATAAAGGTCATGCAATAGTTAACTGGATTCTGTCACCTTCTCCTCGCTGTATGTTTTTGCCTTTTTTGTGCAATGTCCGTAAGTACGTAGAAGAGGTGTTTGTGTCTCTGTGGGACAGGAATCTTGACATGGTACAAGAGAAAAGAGAGATAGTAAAGGTCAGGCCTACTCAAACTGTGTTCCTGAATTGACACAGATGTGACATTTAGATATGGTACATGTTATCAACAGTTCCATCTTTTCAAACACATTCTGAAGGCTGCTTTCAAAAATTTTAAACGTAATTGCGCAGAGCAGGAGATGAATATGTGATAATATGAGCAGCGTTAGTATTCATGGGTAACGCTTTACCTAGGTTAGTCATTTGATATCGACAACAGTGACCATCTTTTAGGAAATGTAGAGAAGTTGGAAAATGTTTCCAGAGTCACACAGCTGGAAAGAGAAAAACCAGGATATGTTGAGAGCTGATGTTCTTTCTCCTTACTGGAAGACTGGGAAGATGATCTAGATTGATTGTTCAAAAGCCACCAACATTTAGGAAAATAATTGCATAGACAATTAAACTTTGCTTATACAGAATTCTAATGAAATATATGTGCGTAAAAGTCTCTATTATAGACACCTGCTGGGGGCATGGGGCAAGACTTCCGTTCTGGGAAGGTTTATAGGGTTTGGCTTGGCCTTGTGCCAGCCACTACCCTGGGCAGGGTCATGGCCTCTCCAAGCCTCCTGTCTGTCTCCACGGCTTACACGCTCAAGATCCGTGCCCACAGAGCGTGGTGCCCACTTGCACCAAAATCTTTACAGGTTTGCACAGGCCCCCACAGGAAGGTGAGCTGCAGAAATGTGCACAGCTCCCCTGCGAAGCTCAGCTCTAGGGAAGTTACACCTACCAACCCGCTCTCCAGGGGCACAGAACAGGCTGTCACCCAGATGAGTGTGGGGAGGTTTTCTGAGAAATGCTCCCGAAGGACAGTAAAATGGAGTGACATGTGAGTGTCCGTGGAGATAAGGTTAAACTGCAAGTGGAGCCCTGTGAAAGATGCTGCAAGTAGAGGAGAGAAGGTGCTGAGCCTGCAGATGGAGCCTGGCGAGCAGATTGTTCCTCACTATCACTTTATCAGTCACTGGGTTCCTGTGTCTTAACTGATAAGGAAAATGGGAGGGTTTTGAAAGATAGGGCAGATATTATATTTTGCATAAAGCTACTAGATAAACTGGCTTTGGGGTTGATGTACATTGTTGGAAGGAAATTGAAGAAGAAAGAACTGCAGTGTGACTGGCCAATGGTAAGTGCCTTTGGGGTGGTTTTTAAAAATGTGTATTTTGAAGGGGCCAGAATGTTCAAATACAAATTTACATTCAAATGGTTATTACTGTCACCTTTGTGAGAAAAATAATGTTATTAATGGGAAAACCCAGTGATGGATGGGTGAGGTCCTTTCACATCTGGCTTGCGTGGTACTGGACTTTGGTCTAATGGGTGAGGAAAGAACTGACTGAGGGCGGAGACAGTGGGGAGTCTGCATTCTGTATTTAGAAGGTTTATAGTCCAGAGTCTTTTCTTTCTGGAATCCACCAAAATCCGGGGGTGGAGTTTACTCAGATGGTAGGGCAGGAAGAAGGAGTCATGACTCAAGGGGCTGGTGGCCGAAAGGGGTGAGGCAGAGGTTTGTGGGGTGGAGAAGCAGGCTCAGGCCATCAGAAGAACCACAGGAAGTGTGTGTGTGAGAGAGAGCCCATCCGAAGAGGTGGGTGGCCGGCTGGAGCTGGAGCAGGAGGGGGCGATGCCTGACTGCCTTCACCTTTGTTATGGTGCTGGCTTTGCTTCTGGGCTGCCAGCCCCGTTCCTCTCTCCCTGAACGCGCTCAGCAGAGTGTGCAGCCAAAGCGTTCAACGCATCCTGAGTTTCTCTTACCAGCTGTGTGACTGGGGGACATTTTCTGACCTCTCTACTTCTCTTACGAAATGCACATTGATGTCAATATTATTTTGGCTAGTCTATGTGAGGTGTCATCCGTGGTAATGAATACTAATGCAGTCCATTTTATCACATAAGCATCTTATTCTGCTCAGCATAATTATATTTAAAACGAAAAGAAACCTCTAAAGTCATCTGAAAGACGGAACTGTTGACATGCACCATATGTAAATATCACATCTGTGTCAAGCCTGGAACACAATGAGACTAGCACCTGCCCTTCAGTCTCTCCCCTTTTCTCTTCTACTGTGTCAAGAGTCCTGTCCCACCAAGAAAGACGAAACCTCTCTTCCCCTCACTTATGGATCCACGCAGAAGCAGCAGAAATGCACAGCAAGGAGAAGATGGCAGAGTTCGCATATCTACCGCACCATCTCTTTCAGAGGTGTGATTTTGCACGCTGTCATCTATCATTCATTATCCACTGCCAGAAAACTGGAGAAAATACACCTACATGATAAACCAAACCGCCGAATGCCCTACACATGATGTGCCCGGGCGCCCTTATTCTTTCCGCCATTGGAAGGACACGGGAAGCCTGCTCACCTGTGGTCATAGTGGCTGGCCTTTCAGATCCAAGGCCAATCATTGGTGTCCCTCTGTCCCCAACTCCTCTTATCCTTGTTCTCTCCTTTGTGCTGGCCGAGGGGTAGATAGGACCTCTGGATGTAGGCACACTTGTATATGTTCAGACCCTGCCTGCTTCGGAGTAGATTGTCTAATTTCT